CTCATATTGATGTTTCTCACTCACTCTTCCCCCCTCCCTCCCTCCTTTCTATTCTCTCTGAAAAATGATGGAAAAAATATCCTCAGGTGAGAATTAAATATAAACACACAAAAAAAAAACCACAAATCATTAGATTTAGCATTTTTATTGAGAGCAATTATGCCACAATAAAATTTATTCTACCATGTTTTGAACACCTGCTTGCTTCTAGTGACTTCTCCCGAGAACAACAAAGTCTAGAACTTGGACCTTGACCTTCACCTACCACCATGCTGAGCACCTACCTCTGGCCTCGACCTCCACACACACTGGTTGCCTATCTTGTCATCTCCCAGAACACACCATGTCCCCTCCTCAGGGGTTCACTCCCCACCCCATCAGAAGTCCCTTCCCAGTTCCTCTGCAAGACACTAGCTTCTCTGTAGTTTCCACAGCATACACCACGATTTGCACCTGGGTGGTAGTGCTTCTGGGTGCGTCCTTGTGTCTTGTTTCCCCTTCATCAGACATGATTATCTTGCCCTCAAAAGCATGCCGAGACTGTCATCTGGTATCCAAATGACAAACCTGCACTTCCGCTGCCCTGCAAACACTCACTACTTTTGACCCAACTTACTTTTGAGCACTGTTTTAATCTTGGTCATCATTGGCTGCACACTTGTCTCTCCATCAGATGGATGGTCGCTGTCTCCTCCATATTTCTCATCCACTCTCCTCTTTTTGGGAGCACAAAGGCCCTCTTCCAACAGAGCATCAACGTCGTTGTCAAAATCATCCTGCAAAACATACTATTCAGACACTATAGCCCCGGCACCTACATTCCTGCACCACAGGCAAGTTTAACACTAGTGAGAACGGACACAGAAATGAGGCACTCTCAGTGGGACCTAGATGTGCCTTTATGGTGCATGATCATCTGAAAAACAAACGGGACGAAACAAAAAACTGAAGCCAAAGGGCTTGGTCCAGGCACACACACCATCAGGGAGCATGTCTCAGCAGCATTTTCCAACTCAGGTTGGTAAAAGGCTGACCTGTCAGCCAAACTTTTCATCAGTTTTAAAATGTGGACTCTTTAGAGCTATCCCTTTTCCACCTCGTATGGACTTCTTTTCTCTGCAACATCAGCTTACAAAAGATGCTGCTGTTCCCAAACACCTCTCTTTGGGTTTTGTTAAGAGCACTCCAAAGGAGAGGTCACCGACATACCTCGTAGGAGAAATTCAAGGCCTCTTCATCCACTCTGTCTCTTTGCACGATTGCTTTAGCCGTGAACCCGCCTGCTCCTTCTTCATCTAGCTCCAAATTGTCAGTAAAATCTTCTAACTCATCGAGCACTGCATACTCCACTCTCTTTTCCTGATCCAGATCATTCTCCTCATCCTTCTTATCAGCACTCTCACCCCCTATGCCTACCCCATTACCAACACTCCCGCCAAAGGGACAAGCATGCATGTCTCCACTGACAGGGCTAAGGGCCAGACTGCACTCCGCACGAGCGTCGCGCTCCACTCCTGTGTACAGCACCTTCCTGTCCTTACTCCTGCAGCTCTCGGTAAAGCTCACACTAATCTTTACATCCTTAAGCAACTTAAGGTCAGGGGAGAACTTCCGGACCGCAGGTGCGTGCCGGGCGGTGCGCGGGCTGTAGCCACTACAGTTCGGGTCTATGAGGAGACGGGCTTTAGAGAAGGATCCTTTGGAGAGAAGAGAAGCTCCGTAGAAGTTGAGTGGGTCCTCAGCAGGGGGTTCGGCCTGTCCATCACCACCAGAGCCAACGTCCATTACCTCTGCATCACTGGACGTTTGCAGGGGAGGTGGTGGAGACTGTTCACGGGGCAGCGCTTGGAGGGGGCAAGCACGTTTCTCCATCACCGCTTCTCCTGCGGGCTCACGCGGGAGAGGAGAGGGACTCTCATATGTCTCCATAGTAAAAGTGGTTAAGACTATTTTAAAAGACCAGTTTTTAAAAACCTTACATAAATCTATACTGCTAACATGCACAAGTCCGTCGAGACCCGGTGCCGTCCTGCCCGCGCTGCACACACTGGCGGCTTAGTCAAGCTGGCCACATTGCTCTTTTCATTAATGTAGACAGCTTTTAGAACCACTGCCTCAATTATTGGAAATCACAATGCACTCAGCTTAAATGACTGACGACTAAGCGAGTCTGTCTTCATGCCAAAGTGGCACCTTTCTTCTTCTACCTGCAAAGAGATTTAAAAACATCGTCACAAATGACAGAAACCTTCTACTTCCCTGGTACCAAGAGTCAAATGCTTTTAACAGTATAGCAAAAAAAACAACAACACAAAAATACTGCCTAAGAGAACTTTTTAAGCTTTAAAACAAACTACCTTTACTTTATTTCTTTATAACCTAAATAATAGTAAGCCCAAGTTAAATATTTTATTAATTGTCCACTGTAGTTCCTACTTCAGAAGCATAAACACAGTATTTAGTCTTAAGGCTCAAAAGGATTAAAAAAAAATCTACACTAAACTTCACCGCAGCATTCCACTAACTCAGTTTATTAGGTAAGCAAGCACGTGGTGTAAGGCTGCCCTTTCCAGAGCACACATAAGGTGTGTGGCCTCCCTCCGGCCATCAGAGCAACATCAATCTACTCACCTGCTAGGGCTGTGTCAGTCAGAGGGTGAGCACGAGACCCTCAGCTCAACTCTGCAGCACTAGGGCCTCAGAGGTACAGCCGGGCGCTCTGCTACCCTGGAACCCCAGGGCTCTCCTGGGCCCACAAGGTGGCACGTGGACCGGGACAGTGATGCAGCGTGCTGAAGTCGCCAGAGGTGGCGTGGTTCTGTTCCCAGTAGAGGAAGGGGTGGTGGCTGTGGGAAGGGAGCCAGGCCAGGGTTGGTGGGGCAGCTGCAGGAGACAGCTGGAGCCAAGGCACAGGGAGTTCTAGGTACCATCTGGAGCCTGGCTCCATCCTGGGGGCAATAAGGAGCCACACAGGGTGAGTTGACTCTCATGCCACAGTTTAATCCTTATTTGAGAAAAGAGGCTAACCACTGCTCCAGGCACAGTCCCTATGCCCAAGGGGTAGGAGTCCTTGAGGCCAGAGGGCCAAGGCGTGAAAGAACAGGAGCCTTCAGGAACAGTGAAGACACCATACTAACCACTCTGCTGACTGGGTAGAGGTGGAGAGCACAGACAAGAGGGAACTGAGAGCAAATGAGGCTTTCCCCTGGAGGGACGCATGTGTTTCAGCATTCGGGCAGGAGCCCTGTCCAACAGGAGCTGAGGTCACCGCTCTGGAACTAACTGGTCCTGAGAATACGGGCCAGAACACATTCAAGAGGTGGTAGTCGTCAAAGCCACAGAAGAGAGGCTGCCCAGAGAGGGAATAGAGACCAAGAACAGGGTTGAGGACACAGCTCTGAGAAGCTTCACTCCAGAGGAAGCATGACAAACGGACTGGTATGAGGCTGGAAGGCAGCTCAGAGAGGCAATCCAAAACCCAGAGGTCTGCAGGAGGCCTGAGCATCAGAGCAAAGCACATGCAGGCTCACACACAGTGCAGACAGACATACACGTAAATATGCCATGCACACGGTGCAGATACGCACATGCATGCCTATATATGCACAGGGCAGCATGACTGGTTGCATAGACAGGAATCAGCAGACATCACTTGTATAAAAAGTTTGTGGTGAAGGGACAGAGTATGGTGGTTGTATTTTGCAGGTGGCACAACATAAAAACCAGAGACTTGTTTAACCAAGTCTTTGAACAAATACTGGCTGTCTACTCTGAGGAAGGCACTACCAGAGACAAGGAAGGTCCCCACGACCTGGACACAGTTGGAAGAGCAATGATCACCAAGCTGTCACTCTATTTCCAAGATTCTAAGATGTCCTTACTGTTCTGGTTTCAATGGTAATTTAACACAATACCTCCCCAGAGATGTGTCTGTCAAAGGTGCTAAGGATGAAGGAAATGCAGCACATAGATAAGGACAGATAGACTGAGCTGTAGGCAAACACTAAGGAGGCTGCAACCAGAGAGGCACCAGAAACACCGAGTAGAGTAAGACTAGTTTCCTGCCAACCAAGAAAGATCATTTTAAGAGAAGGACAAGCAGGTCAGCATGCCCAGAGCTACAGAACACTGATCAGACCAGGACCAAACCCCTTAGCACCTGGCAGGTCTGTCCAGACTCGAGCTAGGGCCAAATGTGACTCCTGGGGCTAAAAAAAACACAACAAAACAAAACAAAACAAAACTAAAATGAAGAAGACATAAGGAGATGGGGGGATTGAGGACAAATGGCACCATAGGAGAGGGAATGCCTACCACCATATTAAAAGGCTAAGAAGTAGCCATGTGGTAGAAGCACAAGCAAAGATGACAATGATAACAACTGAAGGAGGCCTTGAAGAGGTGCATAGGGTGAGGTTGGAGAGCTGTGGAGAGAAAGTGTGTGCTTCTTGGAAGATCAGGAAAACCTGCCCAGCCCCAGGACGCAGCAGCTCAAGGCGCAAAGCCCCACAGTGGGGCAGTTCTGAACAAGTTCCTTACTTTCCCTCTGCAAGCTTTCACTACTCATTCAACAAGTGTTTGCTAAACCCCTTCAATGTAGCGCGCGCGCGCGCGCGCACACACACACACACACACACTATCCTAGATGCTGAGGACACCAGGCAGACAAAATCCCTGCCCCACAGAGCTCACATTTTAGCAGGAGATGGTCAAGTAACAACTAAGAAAAACTAGTAAGTGCTCAAGAGAAAATAAAGCAAGGAATTGAGAAAGGGAGGCAGCTTCAGGAAGAATGGACAGTAAAGACCTCACAGCCATTGTCCACCTGAAGGTAAGGAGAGTGAGTCAGGTGGGTAGTGGGAGTGTGAGGAGGGGACACTCCAAGCACACAAAGAACAAAGGCCCTGGGTAGGAGCCTGGTGTAGCAGGTGAGAGCAGTGTGCTGAGGGGAAATGAGAGGAGGCCAGGTCTGTGCGAGCAAGCAAGACCAGGACTCTGGCTCTTATCTTGAGATGGGCCACTGGACAGCAAAGTCCAAGCAGTGGGGTCACATGATCCAAGGACAGCAATGGCAGCCAACTCTCAGCTGGACCCTTTTCTAAGCCCTTCGTGAACTTTTATTCGCCAGTGCTCACACAGCACCGAGAGAGGTTAAGCAACTTGCTCAAGGTCACACAGCTAGAAAGTGGCGGAGCTGTTTTACCACCCAGGCAAGCTGGCTCCAATCTGAACTGCCTCAGTTTTACATTATCTTGCAATGCAAAAGAATCATGAGGAGAGGGGCAAGGGTGAGAGCAAAAAGAAGAATTAAGAGGCTTATTACCAGACTTAAACCGGGGGTGATGATAAATGGTCCTGAGGGGGGGTATGGAGGCCTGAGAAGAATCCAGGTGGCTCCAAACTCAAGAACAGAGCTGTCATGCACTGAGGTGGTGAAGGCAGCATGAGGAGTGTTTTGGGGTAAAGATCGGGCGTTTAAGTTTGCACGTGGCTACTTAGCATCAAAGTAACACAGAGAGATGTGGACGAGGCAGCTAGAAAGCTGAGGCTGCAGCTCAGATGGCAGGCTGGGGCCGGAGATGGAGATGTCAAGGAGAGATGGCATTAAAGCCAGGCGGCTGGATGAGATCACCACGGAGGGGAGGGCAACTACAACACAGGCCACGACCGGGCAAACCAGTCGGATGTTTGCTACCCCCAAGGCCACGGTGAAACTGTAAAACAACACTTGGGAACTGTCCCACACGGTGCCTGACCACAGAGAACTCAAACGGATGGTTCACCCTGCCCTGGGCCTCACTGCTGCTTCAGCTGCTTGAACACATGCAAATCCTGCCTGCCAAGTGGACAGTAAGCCAGCAGCAGACTTAAAGCGGGCTTCCCTGAATCCCCGGCGCGGGGGTACAACCAACACACTTGGACAGCACCCTGCGCGGACGGGGCTGGCATGGAGGCACAGCTGTGCTGGTTACAAGGCTGTGGCCGCTGCCTTGAGGTCAAGCCTCTCCTGCGGCGGCTTCCCGCCCAACCCAGCAGCAGCATGACCTCATCCGTCCCTTTTGTCATCCTCCAATGGGCCTCCTCCTGTGCTCACAGGCAGCACCGCCAACTGGGACCATTCACTCCCTTTGGGGAGCGAAGGCCCGCGAGGGGGCTGCCCATAGCCCGGTGACTGAGAAGTCCATTCCGCTGCCAGGAAACAGCGGGCCCCGTCCTAGTGGTTGGCTTCCCGGTCACCAGCACTAGACTGCACGGCCGAGCATCGAGCACCGAGCACCGAGCACCGAGCACCGAGCATCGAGTAGCAAGGTACATGCAGCAACGGGTCAAACTCCTACCATGAGCAACCCAAGTCCATGAGAGGATACTTGACAGATAATCACTGTCAACAGGTTGCCACCTGACATGTACTTCTACCACGATCATTGTTATGATAAAACCACGTCCAGAGTATCCATGTGTGATACTCAACCCATGAGGATTAGTGGAGAGAAAGACTTGGGCGACTTCTCAGATTCCCCGCAGGGCCCTAAGCAAGCACGACCATGTTCATACCTTTCCCCGCCTGAAAAGCGATGCTAGGGCTTCGGGCCCACAGGGTGAAGGGGGTTTCTTTTACACTCCGGACAGTTAACCCCGGGGGGGAAAGGAACCGGGCCTCGGCGCCCGCCTGGTCCCCGGGGCCCCGCCCCCCCAGCCGCAAAACCTCGCCGTCCCAACACCCCCCCCGCCGGGGGGGACCCCCAGCCCCAAGCTTCTTCCAAGGCCCCCGTCCCTAAAACCTAACACTCACAAAGGCCGAGACTCGCGTGGCCAGGCCGCCTCATGCACATCCGGCCCGCTCGGCCCGCCCTTCGTGCTCCCGGCCGCGGCCACCGCCCGAGCGAGTAAGGGCGCACCCTCGCGCAGGCGCAGCGCCCGCCCGGCCCGCGGGGCGCCCTTCGCGCCCAGCACCTACCTCTGGCGCCCGCGGCCTGCCCGAGCTGCCCGCAGCCCGACTACAATAGGGAGACCCTCACGGCCCGGCCGCCACCGCCAACCAGAAAGGCCACCCAGGCTCTCCCGGGTCGGCCGGACCCGCCTGCCGCGCGGGCGAGCGGAGGGCGGGCCTTGGCGGTGCACGGCCAATCCCTGGGCGCGGCCGCCCCGCATTGGGGAATCCGCGGAGCGGGCTGAGGAGGCCGCCAATCGGCGGCGCAGGGCTCTCGAGGCCTCGGCGTGCAGCCCAATAGCGCGGCCGCGTGGGCGGGACCAGAAACTGAGGCCGCGGCCGCGCTAACCGTCGCAGCCCGGCGGGGCTTGCCGCGCGGAGGGCGATCGCCGCGAGGAGCGCCGGGAACGGGGCGCGCAGGGAATGCCGGGAACAGAGGAGCGCTGGGAACGCCGGGAATGGGGGGTTGGGGGCGGGTTACGGGGGATGCCGGGAATCCGGGAGCTCGGGAATGCCGGGAGTTGAGGGCGCTCGGGTGGTCTCAGGGCTCCGTCTGTCTCCAGTCTAGGCAGTGCGGAGGAGAGTGTCCACACAGAAATTTTCCAATTAAAATAATTAAATATAATCATTAGGGATAAAAGGACAAGTATCCTCAATTGTCTGGCAGTTTTCCATTTGCCAATACTGTGTCAGGAGCCTCAAGAAAGGGAGGATATAGGGAATGAAAGGACCGTTATTCCTTAGTTAGACCAGAGTGCCCGTAAATAAATGGTGAAGGAATGATGGAAATAGAAAGTATCCCACTTGGCAGACAGCACTTTAACTGCTTCAGACAAAATTCATGGATGCTAAAAAAAAAAAAAAGGTGGGCAAGCCTTGACTGGTTTGGCTCAGTGGATAGAGCGCTGGGCCATGGACTGAAAGGTCCCGGGTTCGATTCCGGTGAGAGCATGTCCTTGGTTGCGGGACGATCCCCAGTAGGGGGCGTGCCGGAGGCAGCTAATTGATGTTTCTCTCATCGATGTTTCTAACCCTAACCCTCTCCCTTCCCCTCTGTAAAAAAAATCAATTATATATATATATAAACTTTTTTAAGGTGGGCAAAAGTAATGAGAAACTGGTGGTGGGGTGTGTTTTACAGAGGTGCGGTTTCTTCCCGAGAAACTGGTGGTGGGGTGTGTTTTACAGAGGTGCGGTTTCTTCCCCAATTGCAGTGGAAAAAACCTGAGAGACACCACCTTAACAAAGTGATCAGAGTCACCAGCAAAAGTATACACATCCAAACTGATCAAGTTATACACTGTAAGAATGTGTTGCTTGTACGTTAATTATACCCAAATAAAACTGAAGGGGGAAAGAAGCACCAGAAAAGGGAAAAATTGTGTGCCTCCTGAGGGCATGTATCACTTGGTATTTCTGCCCAAAAGGCTAACCCTGAATGTCATCATGAAGAAAAATCAGACAAACCCAACTGAGAGACATTCTACCAAAAAACTGGCTGGTACTTTTCTAAAGTGTCAAGATCATGGAAGTCAAAGACTAAGGAGCCATCTTTGATTAAAGGAGACACAACAAATTGTGATGTGGGATCTGGATCAGAGATTAGAAGCTGGCTTAGGAAAGGGATATTAGTGGGGCAATTGGTAAAATTCAAATAAAGTCTGTAGATCAGTTAATAGTATTTAACAATGCTACTTTCCTGGTTGTAATCATTTTATTGTAGTTAGGTAAGGTGTTAACATTTGGGGGAAGTGGATGAACGATATTGGAATTCTTTCTTCTGTTAACATAAAAAATAAAATAAAATAAAAAATAAACCTGTAAAGAATTTTTGTGAGTTTATTTGAGCCAAACTGTTGACAATTGCCAAGAAGCAAAACCTCAATGTATTCGGATAATGCTCCGGAGAATGGCAGATTTTTACCTTGTTTTTACAAACTACCATCAAAAGAGGAGCTGTAAGTGGGTTACTTGAAATCCATTGGTGCTAGATTAGGGAGGTGGGAGAAAGCAAAGTGGGGAAACCTGAGATTGGATAAAAAAGTGAAAGGATAGCCCTAACCGGTTTGGCTCAGTGGATGGAGCGTCAGCCTACAGACTCAAGGGTCCCAGGTTCGATTCCGGTCAAGGGCATGTACCTTGGTTGCGGGCACATCCCCGGTAGGGAGTGTGCAGGAGGCAGCTGATCAATGTTTCTCTCTCATCGATGTTTCTAACTCTCTATCCCTCTCCCTTCCTCTCTGTAAAGAAATCAATAAAATATATATTTTTTTAAAAAGTGAAAGGATGGACACATGCTTCTATTACATAGGTGGGTACAGAATACTTAACAGTCAACAATTAACATGATAACAATAACAGTGAGGGAATTTGTGGTCTCCCTTGGTGCCATTTTTGGGCCCTGAGGGGTCCTGAAAAAGGGAAGTTACAAGTTACCCAGATATTTCACAGGTATGTTATCTTAGATGCAGAAAGACAATAGGCTCAGTAAAGATCAGAAGTTGATCTTTGTCAGGGAAAATACTGGCCTAGGAAATGACTACCTACTATCAACTGCTTTTAATTAAATTTTTAATTTCAGACCATCCTTTGTGGTTACTTTTGGTCTTGGAATTTGCAAAAATGCCATGCAGGCCTTCCCTGAACTAGTCAGGTTAGCATGTGGCCTTTTTTTCATCCGTCCATAGTTCTATTTTTTTGAAGTTTGTAGCAAATTGAAATTCCTTCAATGGAAAGGTTAACAAAAGCGGGGAGAGATAATATTGCAGGTGAGAAAACTGAAAGCCTACACAGTCCCTTTCCTCCCTCCCTGCCCCCTTCCATCCACCTAGCTGCCAGCACCAGGCACCTCACAGTGGGCATTGAGCTTCATGAGGTTCTGGTTCCTGGATTTGGTCAGCTGCTGACCTTGGCCCAGTACCGTCAGGGCCCATGGGACCCTTGCCACACCACCATTCAACCTTAGCACATTTTTTTTGCTTGGTGAATTGGGTACCCCACCTGCCCCAGTCAGACTTGAGACCTCATCCCTGCACTCTATAGCCAGTTTTCTACAAGGCCAGGGACCAATTGGGTGATGGACAAGGACCCTCACCACCAACCCTCCCCCACAATCCCCACCTGGCTCCAGCCTCAGAGTCACAAAGATTGAAGCCTGGAATCTGGAACTCCAGCCCAAGCTGGGGTGGTCAACTTCCCTCTGGGCTTGTTTGCACTTTAGCCTGGCCACCCAGGAGCCAGGTCTCTGCTGAAGAGCCTGGATGATGCCATCTGCTGGCACCTTAACCAAGTGATCATGGCCACCAGCAAATGTAAACACATCCAAACTGTGAACCCTGAGAAAAAAACCTACTAAGAAGGGCTCCTGAGCTCAAATTTTTAAAAAAATATATTTTATTGATTTTTTACAGCGAGAAAGGGAGAAGGACAGAGAGAGAGTCGGAAACATCAATGAGAGAAAAACATCAATGAGCTGCCTCCTGCACACCCCCTACTGGGGATGTGCCCACAACCAAGGTACATGCCCTTGACTGGAATCGAACCCGGGACCCCTCAGTCCGCAGGCCGACACTCTATCCACTGAGCCAAACCGGTTAGAGCCTGAGCTCAAATTTTAAAAAACAGTCTAGCAGCCATTTCTGCACATGAACCTGTCACACAATCTTCACTTCACAGAGAAGCAACCACTAAACTCCTTTCCTGCACTGTGTTTTTGCCATCTGAGCCAGGCTTTATGAAGGAGTTTCGAGAACCCTATTTCAACCAATAGGGCTGAGGCTTTCCCTGTCCAGTTGGAGCTGTGCAGTTCCAACCAATCAGAGTGACTCTATCCTAACCAATCAGGACCGCCTTTTGGACCAACCAAACTGCAAGGTTGAGTCCTTGCATGAGGACAGACCAATCAGGGACCAGGAGCAGGGACTTCTGTCCTTATAAGCCAACTCCCATCTGGCTCAGACAACACACTTTCCCTTTTCATCAAAGACTGAAGACTTTCCCTGGCTGAGCAGAAACACTGGAGATGTCTTGCAGGCCACAGCAGAGCATCTTGCAGGACAGAGCAGAGCTGTCTAGTTGGAGAGGGGCCTGGCCCCAGAGCTGTTCTACAGCTGTGCTGTTTTCCCAGCCACACTGTATCACAATTATCTGTTTTGCACTGAATAAAGTTTCCTTGTCACCAGACCCCAAATTGGGAATTCCTGTTGGCATTGAATTAGCACCAATGACCATCGGTTGACAAAAATTGTCAAAAGATGGGGTGTCATGGGCAGTCTCTGCAGACCTGCCAGGACAAAACTTCAGGTCAGGCTGCATTCCTGAGCTGGTCATGTCTCCTCATAGATTTGCCTCTGCATCAGTCAGCTCCACACCTCTGGTCTCCACGCCAGCACATCTCAACTTGGCTGTCGTGGAGCCAGAGAGTAGGAGAAGCTCATCTGGGAAAAAGGGCATCTGAGAAAGGGATGAATGAATTCCCCATTCACCCAGGAGAAGAAGACCCATGTTGGGGAACTCAGGGACCAAATGCATCCGGTGGCAAGCAGAGAAGACTGGTTAAGCCATGCCAACATCAGGCCCAGGACTTCCTGGATGGTATACCAAAAGTGCTTCTAGAAGGCATCAGATTCCTATGGTCCTGGTACCCTTCTAACAGGATAGGGGCCTCACTAAAAGGCACTAAATAAATGGAGGCTTGAGCAACATCAGCACTATATCCTTGATTCAAGGCATCAGGATATAGCGGTAGGCAGAAGAGGAAAGGTCCTAACTTCCTGGAGCTCTCCTGACAGGGAAACACATAAACAATCAAAATACATAGTATGTCAGACAGTGCTAACTGATATAGAGAAAGAGCAGGGAGCCAGGCAGCGAAAATGGCAAATTTCGATGGGATGCCCCTCCAAAAATCACTTTAGCAACAGTCTGCAGAATGTGATGGAGAGTGCAGTTGGGATATTTGGAAGAGGAGTTGTTTAGGCAGAGGGGACAATGAGTGCAAAGGCCCTGGGGCAGGAGCTGTGCAGAAAATGTGGCCATAGCAGTGGCAGGGGCTTAAGTGAGGTGAAGGTGAGAGGGGTGCCAACAGCAGGAAGAGACCAGAGTGGGAGGACACTGTGGGCCTAGAGGGCCAGGCACACATCTTGTCCTCTTCCTGCTCTTTCCT